CGGACGAATGTGTTGAAGTAGACACAGCCATTCCATGAAATAAAGAACAAATATCAAATTAAGTGAATAGATTCGGGGGCTAGCTGTAAGCACCCTTGCGTTGTACTGTCTCGGGACTGTAAAAAATAAAATGAAATGGGGTTCAACGTCCTATTGTTTTGCTCCGACTGGGCTAATGAAGACAGTCTGCTATGAGGGAAATTTTGCCCGGGCAGCGGCACTATGGCGTAATCTTATATCGAATTCCGACTGCTAATGGATCTTTTGCGTGAACGCCAATGTATACACGCCGGAAACACGGGACCTCGGTTTTTCGTGCCCTCCAAACGACTAGGCGGCTGCCCTTACCAGGCCCTCCGTCCTGCATCTCTGACAAGGGGGAACCACGCCGGAAAATCTGGATGAACTTTTTCGGACAATGCCGGGATCGAACACTCAACCTCCAGACTAGTGAGCCAGCGTCTTACCCACTTAGCTCGGGACTGTAATGATACAGGCATCACTCAAAATAAAAAACAAAACAATGAATGATATTTTATACGTAATAGAAATAATGCGACCGGTCGTGATCGCCTCCTCTTTTGCAAGACTCGGTCGTTATCTATAAGCCGAAGCAGGAAATGGTTAACGTGTGTGCGTTATATCATCAGGTCTGTCATTGAGTCACCTGGCGTGGTTACCAGTCCCCGGTTGTACGTTACAAGGAGTAGCGTGGCCTGTCCGACCTCGTGGGTTTTCTCTGGGTCTTCCGGTGTCCTCCTACTGCTAAAGACCCTTACGCGAAAGGGAATTATTGAAATAAAATTGAACCATAGGCCTATGTTAGTCCCAAGATATAACCTAGTTTGTGTCTAGTGGTAGTTAGACCCCATCTCTCTCTCTCTCTCCCGCTCTCTCTCTCTCCCGCTCTCTCTCTCTCTCTCCCATTTCTGCTCCGACTGAGCTAATGGCGAAGGAGGAAATGTTGAACGTCCATGGCCCGGTTGCTCAAAACTAAGTTATTTTAACGATCCGTTAATCTCTAACGGATCGTTATATTGGTAACTTGTCGTTTGTTAACGGTCCGTTAAATTTCTGTTGCTGGAAAGTCAATTTCATTATCCGTTAGCTAACGGATTCATTAAAGTTAATCCAAGAGAATACTGTTTGTTCATTGGCTGAATTTTAAATTCAATGTACATGTATAACAACTTCATAGAAGTTAGTATTAACAAGAAACTGAAGACAGTGAGACAACTGTGCAGTCTGTTCACAAAACTTGATTAAAGACAAAAACATAACTGTAGAATTTACTACAAAAAAAAGACTATAAAAAAAAACTATAGAATACTTTATTTTTTCCTTTAGAAATTTTAGCATACATCTGTAGGAAAAATTATGGGATTTGCACTACAGAATTATGGGGCCATTATTTCCTACAGGCCACCAAAATTCTGTAAAATAGTATAGAATTTCACCCTGTAGAAAATGGAATTGGCCCGCATCGCCCAACCCTCTAGAATATTCTATAGAAAATTACGTAGGTAATCTATGACTTTTTGCTACAGCCAACTAATGCCATCATTAAACAGATAACGGAGCTCAACACCTCCGTTAAATATAACGCCAAGTTAACATCACGTTAAAGTTAATGGGGCTTCCAGCAACAACCTTTCTCTCCGTTAAAGTTAACGATCCGTTAACTCCATGTTAACTGATCGTTAAAAGATAACGGAGCTTTGAGCAACCGGCCCCAGATCGATAGTTTGACCAACACATTATTGAATCTTATAATTTGAACAGTTGATATTGTTTTAATTATTTAAACGGCGACAATCTATAGAGTGTGATGATAATAAAATTAAAGTTTTATCATAATGATAATACGTCATATCTATTATGACGTCATAGTCACGTGATACTTCCTGGCAACGAGAAAAGGTAGGAATTTTTCTTTTCCAGATTATTCTCTAAATTTGTTGATATTCTATTATTTAGGGTAGCTCATTGATTGATTTGGGGAACCCGATCTCCTGTTCAACTTATAGATTTAAACTGGGCACTAGCATATAGTACCGGGTGGGGGGGGGCACGATGGCTAGCCTGGAGGTCGCATGTTCGAGAAAGTTCATCGGTATTTCCCGACGTGGCTTCCCCTTGTCAGTGGTGCAGTAGGAGGGCCTGACAAGGACAGCTGTCTAGTCATGGAACGAAAAACCGAGATCCCGTGTACAGATTGGCGTACACGTAAACGATCCCTTGACAGTTGGAATTCGATATATAAGAGTAGGCCATGGTGCCGATGCCGGAGAAAAATTTTCCTCATAGCACACTGTATGGCGTATGCCCGTCTTCATTAGGCCTAGTCGGGTAGGAGCAGAACAGTAGGACGTTAAACCCCATTTCATTTCATTTCATTATAGTTTATAGTACCCCGGCGCAAATTGTGAGTGATTCGTGGCTTAGAACATCCCACTGACTAGACGCTGTTCCTAGCCAGACCCTCCGTCCTACACCACTGACAAGGGGAAACCACTCTGGGTACAGTCGCGACCAACACCTGGACCAAACACTGGATCTCCTGATTAGTGAACCAGTGTCATACGCGCTGATCCACCGCGGGTTCCAAAACGGTGTAAAGCCTTACCATCTTCATCTTTATAGCAGATTGCTTGATTGTCTTATAAATATTAAAAAACACACTACCTCTAGCTGCAGTAATATCTCAGACAAATGAAGAATCACGTCAAAAAGTTTTAATTAAGATAAATAATAAATGATATTAGGCCTACTTTGATTAGAGTTATCGTTCGTCACGCTAGAAAACCCATTCATATTTAATTATAATTAATATACAATAGGATTGTTTATGCTGCAAGGTACAGTCTATACCTATATAGATGTAGGAGACAAATCTTAGAAATCATGGGGGGGGGGGGGGGGATGGTATCTTAAAGTCTGTCAATGAGTCAACTAGCGTGGTTTCGATTCCCCGGCTGTACGTGACAAGGAGTAGGGTCGCCTGTCCAACCTCGTGAATTTTCTCAGGGTCCTCCGGTTTCCTCCCACTGCTAAAGACCCCGCGAGCAAGCGAATTATTGAAATAAAATTGAACCTTATGTTAGTCCTGAAATGACCTAGTTTGTATCGAGTGGACGTTAAACCACATTTCTCTCTCTCTCGCCTGTTTTATTTGAACAGACTTGTAGCATACAAAATATAAATAATAATTTAAAAGTGTGGAGTTTTTTCCACACAAGACCTCTAAATTAAAATCAATATGTTCTTTCCTTTTAATCAAAAATCAATATATTACACGCCTGTATACTAGTCTATGTAAACTGTTCTTGTCTGTATTAACATGTAATACAAACTTTCTTTAATGTTCTATTTCTTGATCAAAAGGCCAAATAAATCTACTCAATTTCGAGAGAAAGAGACGTGCATACATAATGTATATATATGTATATATTTAGCTTCGCTTTTTATTTATTCCTGGGCAGGTGGATTGCCGAATGGTTAGCGCGTGCGCGTTGTATCATAAAAATCTGTGATTAAGTCAACTGGCGGGGTTTCGATTCCCCGGTTGTACGTGATAAGGAGTAGGGTCGCCTGTCCAAACTCGTGGGTTTTCTCCGGGTTCTCCAGTTTTCTTCAACTACTAAAGACCTCTACGCGCATGGAATTATTGAAAAGAATTGAACCATATGTTAGTGCCAAAATGACCTAGTTTGTGTCGAGTGGACGTAAAATATCCCATCTCTCTCTCTCTCTTTCTCTTTCTCTCTCTCTCTCTCTCTCTCTCTCTCTCACTCTCTTTATTTATTCCCGTCTGGTCCATGAGACCTAAATAAATCTAGTTTACTCATAACATCGACCAGTCATGACGGTGTATCCCGGGTTGATATGGTACAGGTGGGGTTCTTTTTCATGAGATTCACGCGAAAAAACATCAGTTACCGGTTGTTCTTTTTTATAATAACCGAGAATTTATTTATCTTGCTTCTGAAACAATCTGCTCTAGAGCCTTTCAATAAAGTTAATGAAATAAAATGGGGTTTAACGTCCATGACTGTGTGGTATAATAAGGGCAATTGTGACCCGGTCTACTTTTATTTCGAATTCAAACTGTTAACGGTTCTTTTACGTGCACACCCATGTGTGTAACTTGGCTTTCCGTTCGATCCGAATGACTAAACAAGGGGAAAGCCCTAGAAACTTTCTCGTGTCAACACCGGGATCAAACGGCGGATCTCCTGTTTAATGAGCCAGCACCTTACTCCCTGAGCCATCACGGCTTCGGCTTTTCAAAAACTCAAATATTCCCCAGTTGTATACATTTTTGATATCAATTTGTATGTCATAATTAACTTGAACTTACAAAAACTAGGTCATTGCGGGACTAACATATGGTTTAATTTTTATTTCAATAATTCGCTTGAGCGTAGGGGTGTCTTTAGCAGTAGGAGGACACCGGACGACCCAGAGAAAACCCACGAGGCTGGACAGGCGACCCTACTCCTTGTCAAACCGGAGGACCCGGAGAAAACCCACGAGGTTGTCACGTACAACCGGGGATTCGAAACCACGCCAGTTGACTCAATGACAGGCTTTATGAAACAACGCACACGTGCTACCCATTCGGCCATCCAACCCCCCAAAAATTTAAAGAATAAAATAAAAACAATAAAAAAATTAGCGAAAAATGAATTAGGTATTCATCCAAACATGTATTACATGTAGTAAAAAGACATATTTTTTGTATGTCTCATTCTTGGTAAAAGGCACAATGTCAGGTCAGTAGTTTAAATCAATTTTAAGTATTAAAACATGTACACCAACGTATGCTCGTGTCTATAATCATTATTAAAGACTTTCCTCTATCAATAGACCTGTCTGCTATGTAATAAAGACAATTTCCTATGTTATATCGGTTACTATGAACAGAGAACTATAGGACGGGGTGTGTTAATATTGAATCAATCGACTCTCTATAGAAAGAACTTTAATAACTCAACATGTTCGAACTGTACACTATAATAAGGGGCTTTATTTATCCAACTTTCTATACCAAACAAGTTATATATATAGTGTAACTGATTTATTACATCTTATAGAACACTTCGGTTGGAAGTTTAAACCAAACATCGTATATACATACACATGTAAGTTATTTATATGTCAATAATAACCGTTACTAAGGACGCTCGAGCAAATTCGCGGGAATATAGAATTGGTTGTTTAGATTAGATAGATCGAATTGGAGGTAACTATCAAATAACAGTCGTGGGAATTTGGGCTTAACGACGTTGATAATTCATGTTTTGGTGTGATTTTAAAGAATTTTGGACTTTATTATATGTTTTTAGAGAAGGTAAGGTTGATTAATGCTTTGTATTTTATTATTTCGTTCCATTATTTTATGTTCTGTATTGGTAAATGTGATTATTCGTCGTTTGTTAAATTCATTAAAGGGTCCCATATTGGCGTAGAGTCAAGCTTGTTTGTTTCGTACACAGAAAATATAACGGTTAGTGCTAAATGATAAGGCTAGCTCAATTTTTCGTCATAGGTCACGAGATGTAAACAGGACTAGTGCTAATCCCATCCCTAACCCTGGACCTAACCTCAATGCTTACAACCTACAATCACGCCAACAATCATGTTCTAACCTTTTTACATCTCAGCGACCTGGACAAAAATTGAGCTGGCCTTAACAAATAGATTTAGCCAAATATAAATAACTTACAACGTGTGTAGTAAAACTAAAAAGCATTAAAAACATTTACTTTATTCGGTTTGTCCTTTACTTATTCCCCTATATTATCGTGTATGCTATCGTCCATTGAAACTAACAATGAAGGTATTATACCTTTGTGTTTTCTATAACACGATGAAGTACCTGTCGATAATTGAATAAATATCTTTATGTTTTCTATAATGGATAGATTTGGTCTATGACACTATGAAGTACCTATATATATAGAGAGAGAGAAAGAGAGAGAGGGAGAGAGAGAGAGAGATGGGGGGGGGGGGGTAACGTCCACTCGACACAAACTAGGTCATTTCATGACAAACATACGGTTTCAATTTTATTTCAATAATTCGCTTGCGCTTAGGCTCTTTAGCATTGGGGGGGGGGGAACCGGAGGACCCGGAGAAAACCCACGAGGTTGGACAGGCGACCCTACGTCTTGGCACGTACTACCTGGGAATCGAAAGCACGCCAGATGACTCAATGATAGGCCGTATGATACAACGCGCACGTGCTAATCATTCGGCCATCCACCCCCGACCCCCCCCCCCCCCCCGGTTTCAATAGTAATTATTTAAAGTGACTAGTAAATTTTTATAAGGGTCGACAGTAAATTTGTGGTCCATGTTGATGTGATCAAGAATAGAATTATCGATTTCATTGGATTTTTACACGTGATATTCTGTTAGGACATGATGCCGATCGCGTGTTCCAGAGCACACAGCATGGCGTGTGCTCTTCTTCAAATGTATTGGTCCGTTTGGAGCAGTAAACCCCATTTTAATAGATCTAGTTATAGTTCACAATCTTGTTCCATTTGAACACCCGTTGTGAGCCGTCTTCATTAGCCCAGTCGGTGCAGAATAGTAGGACGTTAAATCACATCTCATTCCATTTACATCATATCTCATTCATTGTGTATTATTAGTCATGGTGATCTCTTGGAATCGCCTCCTCACACCTAATCTACTTAAACTATTATACAGAGGGCCTGATATAAGAGTAGGCCATTGTGCCGCTGCCCGGGCCAAATTTTCCCCATAGCACACTGTATGGCGTATGCCCGTCTTCATTAGCCCAATATAGAAGCAGAACAGTAGGACGTTAACCAGCATTACATTTCATTACATTTCATTTCATTGCAAACTATAGAATATTACCATATCACCTCCTGTATCACCACCATGGAAACAGACGTTTAACCCCAAACAGCGAACACGCATATTCAATAGATCAAACAGCCCACTGTTATGCTCCGAATGGGCTAATGAATAAACAGGTGACAATTCTATGGAATACAATTACTGCTTATTACTGAGCGACGTTTCGACTAGGCTTCTCTAGATGTTTGCTAATGACTAGAGAAGCCTAGTCGACGTTAGCTTGATAATGACTAGAGAAGCCTAATCGAAACGTCGCTCAGTAATAAGCAGTAATTGTATTCCATAGAATTGTCACCTGTATATTCCAGTTCAATTACTAAATGCCATTGAAACAATTTGGGCTAATGACGACGGGCTCAACTTATGAATTTTTATCAGACGTTGATTGATTATAACATTACAGCCACTAGAACCAAATCAACATTCTTTGTTGTTACTTCACGACCAGTTGTTATCAGTTTTCATACTTCATAGGTCAAAGGTCAGCGTATATAAAACAAATAGTTCGTGTCAAAGGTCGGGGTATAAAACCAATAGTTCGTGTCAAGTGGTAGCAAACGGACTGATAACATTTTATTAGGGATCAATAATAAAACTTGACGTTGATAATCTACAAGAAATCCCCTGATTTTTTTAATATCTTAAAGGAGCTAAGTCTCTAACATAATAACTTCTATAATATTCGAAATTAAAAACACGAATTAGAATTCAATATTGACCAATTTCAATCAATATTGATGTTGTTATCCTAATATCCAATATTTAAGACACAATTAACATAATAATCAGTACACGAGTCGTGTACCCTATAGTTTCGGTGGCATTTTGTAATGAATAAATAAAAACATATCCGACAACACAGTTTGGAAGTAATTAATAAAGGCTAATTCACAAACGACAAATTAACAGTTTAAACAACGTGTAGAATACATAATTGATTAGAAAATTGAATATAAATCACTTTACATACATTCATATTACATTAATATGTGCTTTTAGAACCTTTTTTAAGGTTTAAAAAATAGAGCCATGCGCCCTTTAAAGAACTGTAAAAATGCGTTAGCTGTAAGAATGATAAATTAGATCAAGTCGTCTGAAAATATTAAGCATAATCTACCTTGTGTACAACACCCTTTCACCACTTATCGCGAAATGGATGGAGCGATAGTTCGAATTAATCTATCGGAAATGTCAAATGCATCGATGACATACCTTTTGCGGGGTGTTGGATGGCCGAATGGTTAGCGCGAGCGCGCTGTATCATAAGAACTGTCATTGAGTCAACTGGCGTGGTTTCGTTTCTCAGGTTGTACGTGACCAGGAGTATGATGGCCTGTCCAACCTCGTGGGTTTTCTCCGGGTCCTCCGGTTTCCTCCTACTGCTAAAGACCCCTCCGTTCAAGCACATAATTTATTAAAAGAAAATTGAACTATATGTTAGTCCCCATTTCTCTTTCTATCTCTCTCACATACCTTTTAAATTAAATTTTAAAGTACACGTAGCGCGTGTAACACCACCGTTAATATAAACCAATATCTTACGTTGAAAAAGTTAATAACCAGTCCTTAATCTTTGTAATAATAATCATTCGAACTAAAGTCTTTCTTTAGATCTTGGTGAATAAATCGATATATTATAGCCACAGGATAATAGTCGAGGTCTTAATATAATATATTCAATAATCTCAAGTCCAATATAATAATAAAAAAAATATTTATCTAACTTGTGCATTGAAAATCATTTTTTTTTTTTATAGAAATGATAATTTTACAACTAATCTTGTATGTTTTATTTTTTTATCATATTTTTAAATCATTTTTTTTTTGTCCTGTTTTCTAATTGCTATGTTGCTATGGGTATATAGTTTTATTGACTAAAATAAGGCCCCATAAATATTATTTCTAGGTTTTGATTATTTCGTCTCTATGCATTTAAAATTATTTTCAAAAAGTTGCAACGCTTCTAACTCCTGTGAATATAATTTAATTGACAAACGTAAGTTCATGTCTAGGTTAATCTATTAATTAAGTTTGTTTTAATAGTTTTGCTGCGAATTTTAAACGTAACTTGTGCAAGAGCTAAATCTGCCTATTGCATGTCTTTCTTTAGGCCTTAAATATTTTCTAAATTATTAATAAGACATTATTTTACATATCCAGCCCATAATCAACTCTCGATGGCATTGGATTTCTCCGATATTAAATAGATTAGAACAGTTCAGCCATATTTTGAGTTAAGATAAAAATGGAGGAGGTGCGAGACTTAGCGTCGAACAACCAGTCTTGTCAAACCTTCAAAGCAAAGGCTAATATCTTCGCTTGCAATAGAGTAATTTGAATGAAATTTTCATATTATTCATTTTACATTATCTATTTTCGAACTATTATAGCAAGAATGGCTAGCTCTTTATCTAAATCTTACATAATGTATGTTTAATAAGTTTATAATGCCAACTATTAATACCTAAAAATAAACGACATTGCCGAGAAACAAAATTACAAGCATCCATTGCACATCATATCATCTCTTTGGTAGTTTGAGAGCGTCACTTGGTTTGAATGAATAACATAGGGTTTAAACATCTTAAAGTTTGCCCTGTCAAGGTTTTTTTTAATGTACACGTCAAGGTATACACGGAACCTCGGTTGATCGTTCCATTCAATGCACCACTAACAAGGTGAAGCCACACTGGAAAATTCCGATAAACTTTCTCGGCCAATAATGTGATCGAACCCGGACCTTCTACTTAGTAACGGGGGATCACAGTGGCTAAGTGGGTAAGACGCTGGCTCGCTAGCCTGGAGGTCCGGTTTTCGATCCCTGTATTGGCCGAGAAAGTTCGTCCAGATTTTCCGGCGTGGTTCTCCCTTGTCAGTGATGCAGGACGGAGGGCCTGACAGGGACAGCTGTCTGGTCGTTCGGATGGGACGAAAAACCGAGGTCCAGTGTACACATCGTGCACGTAAAAGGTAAAAGATCCCTTGACGGTTGGAATTCGATATAAGAGTAGGCCGTAGTGCCGCTGTCCGGGCAAAATTTCCCTCATAGCACACTGTATGGCGTATGCCCGTCTTTATTAGCCCAGTCGGAGCAGAACAGTAGGACGTTAACCCCAATTTCATTTCATTTCTACTTAGTAACGTATCTCGGTTAATTGAAGTTTCTGCCATTCTTTCATAATTTTTAAAGCCTCCAGCTGTGTAAGATTAATGTTTTTAAAGACATTTATCAGATAACTAATTCCGTATTATATCAACCCCCTTTGATTTGAATTGTTTACATGCCAACACCGCCTAACAACCTAGATCAGAAGATCACAAGGGATGCAATAAAACGGATAATAAAATATTTATCCATGCCAAGATCGACAACCCCGCCGCGAAGCTTTGAAGTCTGAACAAAGAAATTTTAACGATGTTTAACTTTATTTACATGTATTCCGATCACCATGGTAACAACTCAGATTATCGTTTTTCTAGCACCGGAACCTGCTATAGGTCTAGTATCTAGTATTTCAATTTTCATTTGTTTAAAGAAGCAGGACGGAGGGCTGACAAGGACAGCTGTCTAGTCGTTCGGATGGGACGAAAAACCGAGCTCCCGTGTACACA